TGGGTATTGCGGTTTAGTGATTGAAAATATCTAAAGTTTGTTGGTTTCAGGTTTGAAACTTCTCTCCGACTCTCTCTCTTTCTATGTTTGAGTCTCACAAAGTTTCTAATGAGATCCAACCCTAGCATCAAACCAAAGTATCTCTGTGCTACCAACTATACAGAAACAAATTCAAATATTTATAATCAAATTCAAATTAGAATTAGGAAAGGAGTACTGCGAAGTATTCTCCTTAAACCAGAGAAACCTTAACATAAAGCACTTTTTAAATTGTTATTTTTTTCATATCTAGAGAGTGCGAAATGCAGGACAAAAAATGCAAATCCTTTGTAAAAAGTGTTTTTTGTATGCATAAGTTTTCATTGAATCCCGCTAATCTATGCAGGTTCATGTTTAAACAAGATTTTCAAGAAATGCTTTTACTCTCAAGGTTTTAACCATTGGTTCTATATTTTCATTTGATACATTTCATTTGCACAAGATGATTGAAGTAAGACATCAAGAGAAGCAATATTATTTATTATACAAGAGTAAAAACAACTTTACAATCTGCAGATTTATTGTTTAAAGTATAACAGGCATTTATGTCATATTTCACTTACAAATTGTATCTTGAATTTTGCCAGCTCATCTTGTAGATTAGTTTCCATCAAATATACTGTACAATGAACAGTCATCTAGATAATGCGGGAAACAAATTATCCGCTTATTGGCTAGAAACGCGGGGGTGGATTGGAGAAGGGGGGGGGGAGAACCTGTAAGACCAGGAAAGGGTGGGGGTGACGGGGAGGACTGGATATATGGGTAACTAGAGGGTAATCTCCGACCCCAAACATTAACACTGTTGTAAACCTTGTTAACAATGTACTTACACGACCCTTCTCCTATTATATGTTTATATCAAGATAGAGCCAGGGGTTCCATTAAACCAAGTAGACCCGAGTATACACACAGATATTATCTAACATATAACACATCCACACCAATTATAAACCTTGTATTTGGCAAGATCGTTTTCATATGGTTAAATACTTATTACTGAGAGATTGTAAAAGATTGTAAAAAATATCAAGGAAAGAGTTTCATAAAAAAGATAATGATTAAAAGATAATCATTTAAAGAAGATTATGGAAATAAGAATCAAGAAAAGAAGAGAATTTTGTAAAAAAAGATCATGTCAAGTTCAATAACATGCAATTAATGAAGAGGTTGAAAAAAAGGAATGAGAAAGATGATAAAGAAAATCTAAACAATTTTGAAAAGAAATAAAATACCTACCTTAAAGGTTCAGATTCAGCTCCATCCTTAGGTCTAGATCTAGGTTTGTTAGCTCTAGGACAACCCGACAAGGATCGATGAGAGGAATAGTTTCCTAGAAATTAATTAATTTTAAAAATTATTTACATTTTTATTTTCAAATATTTTACTCTTGCTGAGCTGAAAACTTTTGAATCGAAAAAAGAGTTAGCTAATGAGGAAAAGTAATATTTTCTGGTTTACTCTGGTAAAAGCTCGGAGATTCAGACTATTAGAGATCAGAAATATTCAAATTCTAATAATTAACATTTCCAATGAGTGAAACATCCAACTGTAAAAAATCAGGTTAAGCTGAAGTACTGAAGGTTGCGTATCTTTACTCGATTTCATTTAAAAGTATGCCAGCTCTGGTGTCTCTTTATTATACCTGTAACATGCCCTGATCCATCACAACCCGGAGTAGGACACTTTAACTCCTGACTCCGTCCTGGATCCGTTCTGTAGTCAATACTGAAATAAAAAATATATAAAAAAACTAATTTTTTATGGGGTAAAACAATATGCAGGGTTACCAAGAAAGAATGGGGCAATAGAGACGATTTTTTCTTAAATATGGTTTGTTGCAGCTTTTCATTTTTATTTATTTTATTTCTAGGTCGTTATTAATGTCTCAACCTATGTGGGTTTGAAATCAAATTGAAAATAAAAGCATTGTTCTAATTTATGAATTTAATAATTTGTTTTTACAATATTAACATTTCGTGATTCCACATCACAAAACCCTAAATATATATTTATAACTCACACTATACATATCATATTAAACTTTTTACAGTAAAAAAAGGAATAAAAAGGTTTAAAAGTTTGAGACAAATACTGTTTAAACACCTAAATTAAAATAATTTGCCTCTTTTTGTCCGGTTCAGAATCTCCAAGTGGTTCTATAATCTACGAAGTAAGTCCAAGATCCAATTAGCTTATTGATCAAACAAGACAAAAGTTTCTTAATCTTCTCCCATGGTCGTGTGATCAGTAATAAATGGTAATTATACTGTCATAGATACATTTATTCCTCCCAATAATAATAATAATAATAATAATAATAATAATGTCAATAAAAAACAACAATGACAAAAAAACAATACAATTCCTTAACTTACTTAGGAAAAGAATAATACAGTGCTAACCAGAAAACTCTGGAATAGAAAAACAACTTTTAGACTCAAGTTGTGACTTTAAATGGTCCAAAGAACATGTGACACAGTAATTGTGCAGTGTTAACAGACCCATTTCCCTTAACTGATTTAATAAGTTACTAGTAAAATTATTTGTAACAATATCAAATACCCACAAGTATTACTTTAATGACGTTTTATTTTATTTTTACAACGGATCGCGGATTTTTTTCCAGCTAAGATTAGTAAGAAAATGGCCAAAATTACGTTTACAATATGTTACATAAAATGAAAACCTACCGTTAGCAACCCTGTATCTAGCAAGAGAGTCCTGAGAAGGACTGATTGATCCTCTCGGAAACATCCCCGAAGGTTCAAGAACTCTCGGAGATCCAAAAGGTTGACTGAGTTGGCTACTGGAGAAATCAACGGGCTCCGTCTGAACCTTCGGTGGCGGCTAGGAAAAAATGATGGTCAAAATTCCTTTTCCACAGGCTTTAAATATGGTTATTGAAAACGTAGATATTAGAAATATAAACTCTACACCTAGATTCTGTGGACGTTTATGTTATAATAGAAAAAAAATATTTAAAAAATACGAAGGAAAAATGCGAGTGCTTGCGTTTCTAATAATCATGTTTCAAGCAAATATAACTGATGCTTGCTCAGAGATCAATGAAATGTAATGATAATAATTTTAAACAAAATACAAACTGTCAGGGCTTGCAATAGTAGTTCCTGATGAAGTTAATCCAGACATACCATAGCTCACTGCTGTTAGATCCTGAAATATCAGGGTTCGGAGATGCTCATCAAGCTTTTTTTAGATTTTTATCTCTTTTGTTTGTTTTCATTTTCCTTCCATTAAGTTTATTTCAAAAATAAATCTCATTATTGATATTCTGTCTTCCATTTTTCTTCTATTTTTGCTATCTTCTTAAAACAAAGGAATTGAGTCTTTGCAACAATCTCTGATTTTCTCATCTCTATACCTATGCAACTCAATGTCGAAGATCTTAGATGTTTCAAATTATGAATTTTGTTAGAACAAACAATCTAATTTTGAAGTATCAAAGGTTTACACCGTCAGGTTTCAAAGATACAGGGATTAGACAATTTGAGTTTGTGGCAAAGACTCAATTCTTTTCTGATTTCCCTTTTATCATATTTTTCTCTTTTAACCTTTTCTTCTTTTCTCTTTTAACCTTTTCCTTGTGTTCATGTTCTGATGTTGTTTACCTGGTAAGGAGACATAGTGGAGAATGTGGTTGAAGGATACGGGGTAAGACAGGAGTAGGACTGCTGGTAGGAAGGATATCCTGAACCAGGATAGGAACTGCAAATACTGTCATACGGAGAAGAAAGAGCCAAGGCGGAGTATGGAGCACCTGGATAAGTTGGTTTATACATAAAATAAGTTATTCCACGTTAATTTACATTTAAGAGTTTTTTGCTTTCTGGGGGCTCCACAAAAATCTGTCTACCATATTTTTGAATTTTATTTTTGACATAGTGCTAAATATTTAAGCACAAAAATACCAAATCCCCTATTCATGATGTTAATATTAAAAAATAAAAACCAATAGTTCGTTATCGAAAGATTAGAAAAAATCGTTTCTGCAAATATCTTCTGTCAGAGTCACATTTTGCTTAGTAAATATAGCTTTTTTATGTGATTTATATAAATGGCTTAATAAGAGAACCATATACATTTAACCTAAAGAACAAAATGTCAATAAAGGGCGAACAAACTAAATAAAAAAGCCAAACCCGTGATTCTTAGGTAATTGAGGGTTCCTTGAAAGTTAAAATCATAAAAAAATATATTTCCGTTGTGTAAAATATTGAATATTGTAATATTTAACCTTTTATCTATAAATATCTAATGCATTTGCTATTTAATATTAATCATTCCTTCAACATTTCAAATATTCACACTTGCAGTAATTTATTATTATGAATGTATGAAATGATATGCTTTCAAGTTGGTTTTCATATTTTATGCTGACAGGGATGACAGTAAAAAGATAAGTTTAAAGGAATTGTAAACGCTATTCCAATGGGTCCTTAATTTTTTTTTAAAGTCAAATTCACAACGGTACTAATTACATATTCAAGAATGACGGAGATATCCTTTTTTAACTGAAAATTGATCGCCTTTGAATACTATGTTACGTCGCACGAAGTGTACTGTATAGTGTAGACTGCAGTAGACTGAAGTTTCCTGGCTCTCGTCGACGGCCAGATAAAGATTATTCAGCGTGTCGATGTTAATCGGCCATGGCAAATCTATCTGCACTGAAATCTACGTTTACTGTCTAGTACAAAAGGTTTAATTTGTGATGTATGTGAGGTTCTAAATCTGTACCTGGGTCTGATCCTGGGAGGTTGGAACACTGGTGGGTGGAGCTACGGAGCTGAATCCAGTAGAAGGACTTGCACCGGAGCTAAAAAAGTTGAAAAATTCTTGAGATTTCTTTATTTAAATAAGGAAAAATCGTTTATTTAGGAAAAATCTGAAACTATTTTCTCTCAACTATTTCCATTTCTAAAATTGGCAAAGTTAAAATGAAAAGACAAATATAAAACTTTTAAATACTTTATTGAATATTTAAGCCTATTATCTTAATCAGATTTTCAATTTGCTTTTAGGATTTAAGCCTCTCATTCTTTTAAAGATTCAAATTTACTCAAGGATTGATTCTCAGAATTCATGTTTAATGAGTGGATGGACTAGGAGAAAGGGTGTGGTTGAAAAAAGACGAATTCGACAAAAACGGTTAAGATTTCATATTAGAGAGAAGTTATCTTTGAAATTTTAAATATCTGAGAGGTCAATTACATAAGAGTTATGTACATTGTATAGTTTTGCACCTAGGAAATAAAGTTGATTGTCAGGTTTGCCGTGAATTCTGGAGATGTCCAGACTATTCCCCTTTAGGTCGTGTAAGTTTAACTGTACTTAAGAGGTTGTGTGAGGTCAAGTATGCCTGAGAGGTCGTTTAAGGTCAAGTGTACCAGAGAGTTCGGGTGAGGTGAAGTATATGAGAGGTTTTTTGAAGTCTAGTCTACCTGAGAGGTCGTGCTAGGTCAAGTGTACTAGAGAGTTCGCGCGAGGTCAAGTAACTTAGAGGTTGTTTGAGGTCTAGTCTACCTGAGAGGTCGTGAGAGGTCAAGTTTACCTGAGAGGTCGTGTGAGGTCAAGTATCTGAGGACTTGGTTCAGCACTGTGTGGACCTTCCTCGTTGGTCTTTACAGATAGATTGATAGCAGAGTGAGGAACAAATGCAGCTGGAGAGCTGAACGCAGGATATGATGATCTGGATAGATTATTTTTATTATTTATAATATTCATTATTATGATTATTATTATTATTATTATTATTATTATTATCATTATTTATCGAGAGCCCAATAAAAAAATAACTCTCTCTCCCCTCTTTCTACCTGTCGTATGGGGAAGGTGTCGTGTAGCTGATGGAGTAAGACCCATTGTACTGTGGAGTCTGCATCTGTGAGTATGCTCCAGGGTAGGCTGATTGATAGCTGGGGAAATAACTGCTCTCATTCCTACTAAACAGGGGGAGTCAAGAAACTGTTCAAGTAGGAGATATAGACAATCATACGAGGTGTAAAAATTGGATTGCTAACTTAATTTCTCCAGGTACCAATTTTGATTCATTTTTTTATGGATTGGCATCTGCTTGATTCCTGGCTTAATGACCAGAATGGATTGCTCCGGGTACCTGTTCGATTCCTGGTTCAAGGACTGGAATGAATTGCTCCGTGTACTTGTTTGATTCCTGGTTTAAAGACTGATATGGATTGCTCCAGGTACCCATTTGATTCCTGGTTTAAGGACTGGAATGGATTGCTCCGGGTACCTGTTTGATGTCTGGCTTAATAACGATGAATGAATGGCTCCGGGTACCTGTTAGATTCCTGGCTTCAAGACTGATATGAATTGCTCCGGGTACCTGTTTGATTCCTGGTTTAAGAACTGGAATGGATTGCTCCGGGTACCTGTTTGATGTCTGGCTTAATAACGATGAATGAATGGCTCCGGGTACCTGTTAGATTCCTGGCTTCAAGACTGATATGAATTGCTCCGGGTACCTGTTTGATTCCTGGATTAAGATCTGGAATGGATTGATCCGGATACCTGTTTGATTCCTGGTTTAAGAACTGGAATGGATTGCTCCGTGTACCTGTTTGAATCCTGGTTTAAGAACTGGAATGGATTGCTCCGTGTACCTGTTTGATTCCTGGTTTAAGAACTGGAATGGATTGCTCCGTGTACCTGTTTGATTCCTGGTTTAAGAACTGGAATGGATTGCTCCGTGTACCTGTTTGAATCCTGGTTTAAGAACTGGAATGGATTGCTCCAGGTACCTGTTTGATTCCTGGTTTGAAGATTGTGTTGTAGATCCCAACTCAGCGTACATTTTCCCCGTAGAACTATCATAAGTTAAACTCTGCTTCATGTCAGGTTTCATGTCTTGTGAATCCTGAAAAGACATTTCTTTAGCACTAAGGGAAAAATTACAAGAAATGAACTTGAAATCGTGTTTTTAAAAATGAGCTAAAAAGCTTGACGAGTGTTGAAGAATTTATTATGAAATACCAAGACATGTAAAGTAAAAATAAATACAGCTGCAACTGCTCTAAAAATTAGTTTTCATTTTGAAAATGTTTGTTATCTGGGAAATATTTCAAATTATCATGCATGGAGAAATATTACAAAATAGGGACTAGCTGGATTTGAATTGAATGTAAAGGTTTTAATTCAAAGTGATGAGTTCCTACCTGAGCTTCCATGGGTCCTGGGTCAGCCTGGGGTTGGTAAGGGGAATCATCTACCACCATCTTCTCACTTGTATCCAACATTATTGTATTCTAGAAACATGGAGTAAAATTAGCAGAACTCAAAAAAGAAGAAAAATATAATGCATTTTCTTCATACAACTTAAATCGTCCTGTAATTAAGAATTTATAAGCTTATGATTTTATGAAGAGTACTGTAAAATATAAAATTCTTTTAAAGGGAGTGACTGCCAATATATACTAGTTGAACAGAGAATGTAGTATTGTGGAGAAATTATTTAGGAATCATTTGAGACCTATCAGACGTTTTTACGGTGCAAATTTGTTCAGCACGAGCGCAAATTTAATTTTTAAATTCCTCATATATTGTTTATTTTTGTGGGATGATATTGAGAATCGGTTTAAAACTAATTAGTTGTTTAGGAACAGGTTGAAAAAATAAAAATTAACTACTATCATCAAAAATAAGTAATCTTACTTAGTTATTGGTTTCTAAAATGTCTCATTGTTCACAAACATTTTCTGTAAATTTCCTGGAATTTTTATTAAAAAGACGACATTTGAAGAATTTGAAGAAATCTTCGAACAAATTCAAGATTAAGAAATTCAATATCGTGATGGAAAAGAAATAATTAATTCTAAAATTGATTTATTGAGAAAATTTCAATTAAAACTATGTTCCTAAACTAATCTAATAAGTTTACTGCAGAATATTTTAACATTTTTTGTCGTAAATATTTATTAATTTTTAAAAAATCGATTCTCAAAAAACTTAACCATCCCAAATGGATAATTTTGAACGTCGGCTTTGCGCTCAAACTCAGTAAACGTTTTATATTTCTCAAATGAATCCTAAAATATTCTCCAAAATACTACATTCTCAGTTCAAGTACCATACATCGCAGGATAAAAGTCATACTTTTTCTTTAAATTTTCCATTCCTAATTCATCAAAAATCCCAACCTGTAGTTCTGCTCGTTTACTGAAATCCTGGCATTCTTCCCAGTCTTCAATCTTCTTATTTCCTAAATTAAGCAATTTGACAAAAAAAATTGAGCCTTAGCCACAAACTTAAGTTTTCCAATTCTTAAATCTTCGCAAACTGAGGGTGTAAAGCTTTGACATTTCAAACTGAGATTATTTGATCTGAGAGAATTTGTAGTTTGAAATATCTAAGATCGACGACATTGGTTTGCAAAGATATAAGGATTAGGAAATCTGATGTTGAGGAAAAGACTCAATTCCTTTAATTAAATTTCTTGAACGATTTTTAAAATTTAAATAAATTATAAATCATTATTCTGAAAATTAGAACCTGAAATTGGAACTTTAAAACATTAATAATTGGAACATCGATCTTGTATCTTAAACTCCGAACCTTACTTTTTGGCAACCTGGAGCCTGCAGGTCTAACTCTCTCTGGCATGAAGTTGACCAGGTCTCCTCTTCTCCTGGTCAACTAATTGAAAGTTAAATATGAAGTTTCCTAACTCTGATAACTCTAATGTATTAAAGTCATCTGGACCTTTCCAAACTTTACAACCGTCTCTCCACCCTACACTGGTAAATCCCGCTCTGGGTTCTGCAGGGTGTTAGGAAAAAAACACTAACCCAGAAAATCTATTTTTTCAAACAAATTTTTAAAACTTGATCAAAGACAGGGACGTTTGATGAATCCCTGAATTGCAATTTATTATCAAAGTATTAGAGATTAAAGAATGTGAGAGGAGTCGAATGGTTGGTTCTGGATTAGGATGGTTGAGTGTAGCAGGATAATAGGTGAGTGATGTTGGAAGGGTTGGCGGAGTAGGATGAGTGGACACATATGGGGTCGAATGGTTGGTTCTGGATTAGATTAGGACGGATGGTAAGGATGGTTGGGTGGAGAATGGGGCGAGTGAAGTCGAATGCTTTTTTTTAATTAAAGGGTGTACATAAAAAGAGGTTCCCGCTAACATTTTGAATTCTAGAGCTCTCAATATTGGCAATAAAATCTTGTGAATTCTTATTTGAAAATTGCAGCTGCCAGCTAGCTGGACAGTAGTGGGATGGTTGAGTATAGTGAAGCTGGATTTGGATGAGTGGGTGGACTAAATTGAGTGGAATAGGATGAATAAAATAATAAGGTGTGATAAAAAAAATGATTTTACGGATAAGGATTAGGGGAGTATCACGAGTGGATGATATCGGAGATTTAAATACACTAAAATCTTTATTCAATTCCCTGCGGTTCATTTTCCTTTTAAAAATCTGTTTAAAAAACAATAAAAAGTTTAGAATGTGGGTTGGAGGGGATGGGGGGGGGGGAGACAAGCTGTTGCAGGGTGTTTGAGGGATTGCTTGTGGCAGATGGAACAGTTTTTTACATTAAAATATTCACTAAATATCCGCTGTATGCTGGGTCCCAACCACCAAGCAATTATAATTCTCTGCCCCGGAAACTAGTTTTGTCCAAGAAGAAAGAATCCGAATGAAAAGATGATCTGGAGCGAGTAACTTCGGACCTTTGATGAAGATAATGGAGAGAGAATTTTATTTATTTTTTATTTTTCAATTTCAAATTGGCGTTTATCTTTAGAAAGGAATTGAGTCTTTGTCACAAACTCATATTTTATAATTCCTATATTTTTGGATTCCAATGTCGTAAGCCTTTCACATTTCAAACTATGACTTCTGTTAGATCAAATAATATAGGTTTGACATATCAAAGGTTTACGACATTGGGTTCCAAAGATGTTGGGATTAGAAAATCTGAGTGTGTGACAAAGAATCAATTCCTTTATCCTTATATAAAATATATAGTAAGAATGATAAATATCATGTGCGTGGAAGAGAATTTTTATTATTTTTTAATTAAAGGCATGACCGGAAGTTGGGGTGTTAATTATCTTCGTACGTACATGATAGATCAGGATTTGAATAAATTTTGGTATGAAAAAGAGTTTTATGGTCTGATAAAGAAGATATTTGGTTGGATGATATAATATAAAAGATATTTAAAATCGTTTGTTTCATAGTGTAGAAGAGATTCATGATTGTTTGTTTCATAGTGTAGAAGAGATTCATGATGGTTTGTATCATAGTGTAGAAGAGATTCATGATGGTTTGTATCATAGTGTAGAAATTCATGATGGTTTGTATCATAGTGTAGAAGAGATTCATGATGGTTTGTATCATAGTGTAGAAGAGATTCATGATGGTTTGTATCATAGTGTAGAAGAGATTCATGATGGTTTGTATCATAGTGTAGAATAGAGTTGGGATTGTTTTGTTTCATAATGTAGAAGAGATTCATGATTGCTTGCATCATAGTGTAGAAGAGATTCATGATGGTTTGTATTATGGTGGTTGAATAGAGTTGAGATAGTTTGTATCATGGTAAAGAATAGAGTTGGGACGGTGTGTATCATGGTATAGAATAGAGTTGGGATGGTCTGTTTCATCATATAGAATAGAGTTGGGATGGTCTGTATCTTGATATAGAATAGAGTTGGGGCTGGTTTGTATTATTATATAAAATAGAGTTGGGATGGTCTGTATCATGGTGTAGAATAGAGTTGGGATGGTCTGTATCATGGTATAGAATAGAGTTGGGGTGGTTTTTATCATGGTATAGAATAGGGTTGGGATGGTTTGTATTATGGTATAAAATAGAGTTGGGATGGTCTGTATCATGGTATAGAATAGAGTTGGGGTGGTTTTTATTATGGTATAAAATGGAGATGGGATGGTCTGTATCATGGTATAGAATAGAGTTGGGGTGGTTTTTATCATGATATAGAATAGAATTGGGATGGTTTGTATCTTAATATAAAATAGAGTTGTTATTTCTTAGGATTGTATAGAATGGAGTTGAATTGTGGTATTTATCGTTGTATTATGAATTTAGTTATAACGGCATTCAATACGATTTAACCAAAAACACGGATAAAAGACTTATAAAAGCAAACATATAGATTGTAATATGTTGAACTTGTTTGAACTAAAATTACTTTTATCCATCAGTTTCTACCACTCTTGCGATAAAGGAACCGCGTCCATGATTCAACAAGTTTGAATCCTAAAACTTTTTTATCTCGTAAAAAGTATTCCAGAAGTTTGCAAGACACTAATAATGAAACTTTGCGTTAGTAACAAAGTTTTGAAAGGTTACCTCCGACTTTTGGCAGTGCCGAACTTTACTCAGGGTGCACAAATCTAGTGCAGGCTCATCCGTAAAACCAGGAGAGATATTTTCCCTTCACTTTTCACAAGTTTGCAGGTTTAAAACAAACTGGACTAAGTTTTAATATAACTTTTGAAAAATAACAATAAACTGCAAGGTCATACAAAGTTTTGTTTTAGTTTCGAAGTTTCTGTGACTAGTCGTAGTATCAAACTGTCCTCATCCTCGACTCCTGCAGCCTCAATACAACAGGTCCGCTCCGTCCTCGTACCCTGCCGCCACTTCGACCAATCACAGGCCGGGAATACTGACGACCAATGGGAGACCGGCGGCGCAAATAGTGGCCTGGATTGTCCATCTGGGCCTGGCAGATAACCCCGCCCATCTTATCAAGTATGACTTTGTTTTAAATGTGTACATGAACAATCAAAGATTAGGCAAATATTTTTTGAGGATTTAAAAAAAAAATTGATGTATGAATGCAGATGGAACTAATTCAAATTGTATAAGTTTTTTTTATTGCATGACCATAATTTTTCAGTTTTATTTGCGCACAGTTGTATAAAGGTATTCGGATTCTTGTATTTGCAAAAAGGGTATTCGGATTCTTGTTCTATACAAAGTTTAGTAGACTGCAGACTTAGCAAAGTTTAGACCAAGTTTCTGAAATGGAAAAAGTTTTCCTAGTTGAGAAACTTGGTCGTTTCTCTCCGTCCTCTCCTACTATCAACTGCTACTGGAGTTGAACCAAGTTAAACCTGCAGCTGAATCTAGTTTTCAACTGCGTTTTTGCATAAAATAGTTTCAAAGTCGGTGTAACTTAATTATTAACTATTCAAAGGTAATTTGTAACTTTTTTACTAAAAATTTTAAATAATTTCTCTTTATTTTACAAGAATGTCAAGATTATAGTGTGACGTTGCTTTAAATATTGCAAAAGTTGTTGGACTTTAATATTTTGTATAATGCAGGCAATTTGTCAATAATAGTTCATCCTTGTGGGCTTCAATCATATCTAAACTAGATTTGATACGTGCAAAGTTAAATACTCTTTCTTAAGATATGATTTCTTAAGATTTGATAGATTGATAGTTTGATAATATTAATTATATGAATATGAATGAAATCTGTCTTTTTGTATATAATTATGAATAAATGGCATTCGTCATCAGATAGATTCAGACTGCTCTAAAAAGTTCAATTTTAAAGACTGGGTCAACCTTCAAGTGTCGCATCGCCGTGACCTTTGATTTTAACTGAATAACTCACTTATACTTTTTTGTAGCCCTAGACATTTACATTTTAGAACTATAAAATGCTTGTTTTTAATTTAGTTTTTAAGAAGTAATAGAAAAAATATCATCAATTTTTGCTTTGAGAGCTTGCAACCTAGCTTTGGATCAATATGTCATAGATTACTTTTTAAAGTTAGATACAACGGATAATTGTCCAGTCATTAATACTTTTCACCCCCTCCCCCCCTCCTATCAATATTTTACATTTTACACTCTCTCATTTTTAAAACCTGAAAATGTGGAGACGGTTAAATTTATGCCCAGATAATGGAACGACTTTGCAACCTTGTAACTCCTCTAGAGTAATAGTGAGGTATCATGCCCTTATAGGCATACATTGTAACCTTATATGTTTACTTGATTTTCTACCTTCACTACTCAGATATCCAACTCTTTGCCTCCCCTCTCCCCTCCCATATTGAAACCTTTATATCTGCTTCCTCCCATATTGAAATCTTTATATCTCCTTCCTCACAAACCTTTATATCTCCTTCCTCCCATATTGAAACCTCAATCTCTCTCTCCTCCCATATTGAAACCTCTATATCTCCTTTCTCTCATATTGAAACCTTTATATCTCTTTCCTCCCACATTGAAACCTTTATATCTCTTTCCTCCCATATTGAAACCTTTATATCTCCTTCCTCCCATGTTGAAACCTTTATATCTCCTTCCTCCCATATTGAAACCTTTATATCTCCTTCCTCCCATGTTGAAACCTTTATATCTCCTTCCTCACAAACCTTTATATCTCCTTCCTCCCATATTGAAACCTCAATCTCTCTCTCCTCCCATGTTGAAACCTTTATATCTCCTTCCTCCCATATTGAAACCTTTATATCTCCTTCCTCCCATGTTGAAACCTTTATATCTCCTTCCTCACATATTGAAACCTTTATATCTCCTTCCTCCCATATTGAAACCTATATCTCTCTCTCCTCCCGTATTTGACCCCCAAATTCTCTTTCTCAAACCTACACCGTATCCCCTCTCCTCAACGATCTTCTGTGTTCTTCCCCTCCACGAATTTCGCCAAGTGTCTCTGGATTACCCTAATATCTCAATTTGGCCACTTTGACCTGTTCCTCAAACATACTCAAGCTCCTCCAGGTATTCATTGGATTCTCCGGGGGGATTATACACTTCTCCAGGTTCTATAGTTCACTAGTTCAAGATTATACACTTCTCCAGGTTCTATAGTTCACTAGTTCAAGATTATACAGTTCTATATGGTTCTATAGTTCACTAGTTCAAGATTTTATAGTACTTTCAGGTTCTATAGTTCACTAGATCAAGATTATACACATCTCTAGGTTCTATAGTTCACTAGTTCAAGATTATACAGTTATATATGGTTCTATAGTTCACTAGTTCAAGATTTGATAGTACTTCAGGTTCTATAGTTCACTTGTTCAGGATTACATAGTACTCCAGGTTCTATAGGTCACTAGTTCAAGACTATACAGTTCTCCAGGTTCTATAGATCACTAGTTCAGGAGTATACAGTTCTCTAGTTTACTAGTTCAGGAGTATACAGTTCTCTAGTTTACTAGTTCAGGAGTATACAGTTCTCTAGTTCACTAGTTCAGGAATATACAGTTCTCTAGTTCACTAGTTCAGGAATATACAGTTCTCTAGTTCACTAGTTCAGGAGTATACAGTTCTCTAGTTCACTAGTTCAGGGGAGGCAGAATTTTTATTCAGTTCTCTTTTTATACATTTATCGAGTCATTGTGATTTATGCATTTGAAATGCAAACCTTGGATTTTAATTTGGGTTCCCCGGTGGTGACATTGGCGGGAAATTCTTTTGAATTTTATTGAAATTCCACGGCAAAGCATCATTTAAAACCAAGGGCGGGTAAACGGCGGGAGTAACTATGAATAATCTGGGCAACGCCGAGCACTTCAGCTAGTATATACATATATATATGTCTATCTATATATCTTTATATGAATATATCTATATTTCCATCTATCTATCTATCTATCTATCTATCTATCTATCATAACCACATCACTTGATCAATCTATCTTTAACTTAACCACATCACTTGATCAATCTATTTTTAACTTAACCACATCACTTGATCAATCTATCTTTTAATCAAACCATACTGAACCACAAAATCTTTCAAACCACATCTTTTTTGTTCTTTTCACCCCATGCTGCACCACTGCAAACCTAACGGATGAGATTGCTATTCTACTAAACCATACAAAATAATTTACTTTTAGCAAACCATTTCATCAAATTTTCTAATCCCAATATCTTTTTTCACTGATGGTGACTGGTGGAAACCTTTGATATGTGAAACTTAGATTATTTGATCTAACAGAATTCATAGTTTAAATTATCTAAGGTTGCAAAAATATAGTGATTAGAAAACTAGAATTTGTTGCAAAGACTCCAATTATTTTAACTTATTTTTCAACCAAACAATTTCCTTTTCATTACACCAGATTTCAAATCCATAAAACTTGTTCATCAATCCAATCTAATGCGAATATCTACTGAGTCACAAAAACCCTGATCCATACTAACCCATACCTATTAAAAATGTTCTCCCCAATATGTGATAAACTAACAAATCTGAAATATCCCAACAGAGTGATTATAACTGCCAAAGAAAAGTAATAAGGAAACGGAAGAAAAAGCAATTAAAGTATGGAGAGGAACAATATCCTATCTTCCCTACAGATTACACCTACAACTTATTCTCAAAATTGATCGTAAAAATATTTATTAGAGAAGGGGAGGAGGGGGTGGGGGGAAGAGGGAAAGGAATGGGCTAGGTTAGGGGGGAGGGGGAATGCTGGATTCAAAATTTACATTTGTGCAATGATAAATTGTATTCTTAAAAAAATTTCAAAATATCAGAAAATTTATAATTTAAATTTTCTTTAAATACAAAGATATTAAGAATTTTATTCTAAAAAGATTTAAAATACTTAATTTGTATTCGATTCAACCAATTCTTCATTTATCGAGCTCTTTTAAAAGTAACCTTTAAAAAAATAACCGAGTTTTTGCCACAAACCTAAATTTTCCAATCCCTTTATATGTGCAACCCGATGTATACCTTTGATATTTCTAACTAAAATTAATAAAACCCAGACGAGCAAGGAAATGGCTGAGATTTGTTAAAAACTAGTGTGGATATCAGCTTTAATTAGGGTGAAACCACTGTTGAAATTATACTAGGACTACCACCGAGCAAGATTTGATTAACAGTAAACCATTTAATTACCCATAAAACTTAATTATGCATCATTCTCGGTCATTTATATTCACAGATTTCAAGTGCTCTCCGCCCCACACGGATATTACATTCGAAGTTTATAGGAAATAAAATAGATAGAAATAGGAGAGATAGGAATTGCTGCAGAAAATAGGAAATTTGAAAGAATAGAATAGAAGTGAATATAAGCTGCTGTGGAGAATAGGAAAAAGAATAGAAATGAGTAGAGAGAGAAGAAATTGTTTAAAATAGGGAAAATAATAGAATTGGAGAGAAGTAGCACTAAAAAATAGGAAAAAGAATAGAAAAGGAGAAAGAGAAGCTGCTGTGTAGGAAAAAGAATAAAAATGAGTAGAGAGGGAAGAAACTGTATAAAATATGGAAAATAATAGAATAGGAGAGAATATCTGTAGATAATAAGAATAAGATTTGAATAGGATAAAAATATGTTGCTTTGGAGAATAGGGAAAATAATAAAATAGGAAAGAAGTATCTGTAGAGAATAGGAAAAAGAAAAGAATAGGAGAAAGAAGTTGCTGTGGAGAACAGGAAAAAGAATAGAATAGGAGAAAGATATGTTGCAGTGAAGAATAGGGAAAATAATAGAATAGAATAGGAGAGAGAAAGAAAGAAGTTTATGTGTACAAAAGGAAAAATAATAGAATAGGCGAGAGAGAAGTTGCTGTGGAGAATATGAAAAAGAATAAAATAGGAAAGAGAGAAGTTACTGAGGAGAATAGAAAAAGAATAGAATAGAAAAGGAGAGAGAAAAGTTGATCCCACCTAACGAAATATCCCGATTACGTCTCTGCACTTACAAAATCAATTCACAATAGGAAAACCTAGGTATTTAAGAAAAGTGTCAAAGTTGGTTGGAATAAATTGAAAGAGCAGAA